TACAGAAGAGAAAGTCACCAAAACTTCCAAGTTTCATGAAAAATATAAATTTACAGATTCGAAAAGCCCAGTGACACCAAAACAAGCTAAATGGAAAGAAAGACACAGTGTATAGGGATAGAGGATATATACCTCAATATTATAAAAGCCATCTATGAAAAACCCACAGCGAATATCATTCTCCATGGGGCAAAACTGAGAGCTTTCTCCCTAAGGTCAGGAACACGGCAGGGATGTCCACTATCACCACTGCTATTCAACATAGTGTTAGAAGTCCTAGCCACAGCAATCAGACAACAAAAAGAAATAACGAATTGGCAAAGAAGAAATCAAACTCTCACTCTTTGCAGATGATATGATACTTTATGTGGAAAACCCAAAAGACTCCACCCCAAAACTGCTAGAACTCATACAGGAATTCAGTAAAGTGGCAGGATATAAAATCAATGCACAGAAATCAGTGGCATTCCTCTACACCAGCAACAAGACAGAAGAGAGAGAAATTAAGGAGTCGATCTCATTTACAATTGCACCCAAAACCATAAGATACCTAGGAATAAATCTAACCAAAGAGGCAAAGAATCTATACTCAGAAAACTATAAAATACTCATGAAAGAAATTAAGGAAGACACAAAGAAATGGAAAAATGTTCCATGCTCATGGATTGGAAGAACAAATATTGTGAAGATGTCAATGCTACCTAGAGCAATCTACACATTTAATGCAATCCCTATCAAAATACCTCCACTTTTTTCAAAGAAATGGAACAAATAATCCTAAAATTTGTATGGAATAAGAAAAGACCCCGAATAGCCAGAGGAATGTTGAAAAAGAAAAGCAAAGCTGGTGGCATCACAATTCCGGACTTCAAGCTCTATTACAAAACCATAATCATCAAGACAGTATGGTACTGGCACAAAAACAGAGACATAGATCAATGGAACAGAATAGATAGCCCAGAAATGGACCCTCAACTCTATGGTCAACTAATCTTCAAAAAGCAGGAAAGAATGTCCAATGGTAAAAAGATAGTCTCTTCAACAAATGGTGTTGGGAAAATTGGACAGCCACATGCAGAAGAATGAAACTGGACCATTTCCTTACACCACACACACAAAAAGACTCAAAATGGTTGAAAGACCTAAATGTGAAACAGGAGTCCATCAGAATCCTAGAGGAGAACACAGGCAGCAAACTCTTTGACCTCAGCCACAGCAACTTCTTCCTAGAGACATCACCAAAGGCAAAGGAAGCAAGGGCAAAAATGAACTATTGGGACTTCATCAAGATAAAAAGCTTTTGCACAACAAAGGAAACAGTCAACACAACCAAAAGACAACCAACAGAATGGGAGAAGATATTTGCAAATGACATATCAGATAAAGGGCTAGTATCCAAAATCTATAAAGAACTTCTCAAACTCAACACCCAAAGAACAAATAATCCGATCAAGAAATGGGCAGACGACATGAACAGACATTTTTCCAAAGAAGATGTCCAGATGGCCAACAGACAGATGATAAAGTGCTCAATATCACTGGGCATCAGGGAAATCCAAATCAAAACCTCAATGAGATACCATCTCACACCAGTCAGAATGGCTAAAATTAACAAGTCAGGAAACAACAGATTTTGGCGAGGATGTGGAGAAAGGGGAACCCTCCTACGGTGTTGGTGGGAATGCAAACTTGTGCAGCCACTCTGGAAAACAGTATGGACGTTCCTCAAAAAGTTGAAAATAGAGCTACCGTACGACCTAGCAATTGCACTACTGGGTATTTACCCCAAAGATACAAATGTAGTGATCCGAAGGGGTACATGCACCCCAATGTTTATAGCAGCAATGTCCACAATAGCCAAACTATGGAAAGAGCCAAGATGTCCATCAACAGATGAATGGATAAAGAAGATGTGAGATACACACACACACACACACACACACACACACACACACACACACAATGGAATAGTATGCAGCCATCAAAAAAAGAAATCTTGCCATTTGCAATGACGTGGATGGAACTAGAGGGTATTATACTAAGCGAAATAAGTCAATCAGAGAAAGACCTATATCATATGATCACACTGATATGGGGGAATTCTTAATCTCAGGAAACAAACTGAGGGTTGCTGGCATGGTGGGGGTGGGAGGGATGGGGTGGCTGGGTGATAGACATTGGGGAGGGTATGTGCTATGGTGAGCGCTGTGAATTGTGTAAGACTGTTGAATCACAGACCTGTACCTCTGAAACAATACATTACATGTTAATGAAAGTAATACATTACATGTTAAAAAAAAAAAAAATAGTAGGAAGAGAAAAATGAAGGGGGGGAAATCGGAGGGGGAGACGAACCATGAGAGACTATGGGCTCTGAGAAACAGACTGAGGGTTCTAGAGGGGAGGGGGGTGGGGGGATGGGTTAGCCTGGTGATGGGTATTAAAGAGGGCACATATTGAATGGAGCACTGGGTGTTATACGCAAACAATGAATCATGGAACACTACATCAAAAACTAATGATGTAATGTATGGTGATTAACATAACATAATAAAATAAAACTAAAAAAAAAAGACACACCAATGCACATTATAGACAAACTGCTGACGAAGAGAAAATCTTGAAAGCAGGCAGAGGAAAATGGCACACTACTTACAGGATAACTGATTCCCGTAACTGTGGACCTCCCATCTGAAGCTATGAAGGCCAGAAGAGAGTGGAACAATATATTCAAAGTTCTAGAAGGGAGACAAAAAATCCCTGTCAGACCAGAAACTTATATCCAATGAAAGTATCTTTTGAGAATAGAGGCAAAGATAAAACATTTTTAAAGATTTTATTCATTTATTAGTGAGAGAAAGAGTACACACATGAGCAGGGGGAGGAGCAGAAGGGGAGGGAGAGGGAGAGAAAGAATCTCCAGCAGAGTCCTCACTGAGCACAGAACCCAATGCTGAGCTCCATTCCATGACCCCGAGATTATGAGATCACAACCTGCACCAAAACCAAGAGTTAGTCACCCAACTGACTGAGCCACCCAGGTGCCCCAAGGCAAAGATATTTTTAAATAAAAAGAAACATGAGAGACTTCACTGGCAGCATATCTGTACTTCAAGAAATTCTAAAGGTAGTCCTTTAAGCTGTAGAGAAATAATATGAGAAGGAAACCTGAATTTTTTAGGAAGTAATATAAAACATCAGAAATGGGGCATATTTGTGTTAATAAAAGACTGCATTTTTCTCAATTAAAAAATACATGACTATAGCAAAAATTGTATCATTACCTTGTGGGGTTTATAATGTATGTAGAGGTAATACATATGACAACCATAGCATATGAAGTACAGTATGGTGTGTGTGTTGGGGGGAGTTAAATGGAATATATGGTTGCAAGGTTTCTACATTTTCTGTGAAGTGGAACAATATTAACTTCAGAGTAGATTGTGAAAAGTTAAGGAAGTAATTGCTCTAGAGCAATTCTAAGAAAAAAAAATACTGCAAGAAGCATAGCTAAAAAGCCAATGGGTAGTTTAAAGTGGAATTCTAAAAACTGATTGAGGTGTTTGTGGTCTAGATAGACTAACATAGTAGGACAGCTGATCGGTTTTGGTTCTATGGACTGACTGGTCATGGAATTCATCGTATTTACCATTCCTTCCTTCCTACTTCTTTGGCTGTTTTCACTGAACTCTTCCCATAGAGTCCACTGCACTTTGTCACAGTGTTTCTCCATTCCCCATAAATGTGTGAGCTTCGGGCTTATAGTGCTGTTCCTTCAATTATGTGGTAAGGAATGCCCTACATTGGGAGTTAGGACACCTGAATGGTAGCTCTGGTTCTGGGATGACTAATTGTACATACCTGCTTCTGAAGTGGACATTAAATCTCTCTTGGTCTTGAAAACCCCTGTAAAAATGGAATATGAGAAAGCCACTCTCCAAGATTCCTTTATACTTTGAAAAGACTATGGTTCTAAGTAAACTTGGAATAATTCCTTAATTATGGAGATGAGGATTTGGAAGCTTCAGATGAAGTAAAATATTTTCTTAAAGATGAGTTTCTAGCAAATGACAAGTCAAAGATGACTGCAGGTGTCTTACAAGTAGCTCATACTATTCGTGGTGGGTAAATGGGATCTGATGACAAGGATATTTGAGTTTGCTTAATATAGTCAAATTTTTGCTACATAATAATCCCTGCCATTTATCACATACCTGTTATGTGCCAGGCATTATACTGGCCCTTCCCATGTCATATATCTTTTAATACTCAAAACAATGTCAACAAGGAAAATTACCATTCTCTATTATACAGATGGAGAAATAGGCATAGGTAGATCAAGTTAATGATGGTTGGCTGGGATTTGAAACCCTTCCCACACATCACATTTCCTCTTTTCTGAAGTTTATCACATCTAGATGTTGACATGTGCTTTGTCATCATCATGGATATTTTTGAGCACTTGAGAATAACAAGTTGCAATAAGATACTTGGTCCAGTGGCAATGGCGGGGCTAGTACATTTCTTCCCAAGAGCCCAAGATGCTAGAAGCTGTTTATCCTGTCTCCCTCCACTTCTATCTTAAAACTATTAGTCTACGTAGATCTAATAGCATTGGCCCACATGATTTGTTCTTTTCCACTATTCAGAGGAATAAACTGAGGCCCAGATGAATGGTAGTGTAAGAGGAAGGTGTGAAGTCATATGTCTGGGCTCAGATCTAAACTGAGGCCTTTTCTTACACTTTAAATTTGAATCCCTATTCTAGAACTTTAGTGGTAAGGACATGTTTTGTGAAGTGTTCCAGGATTGAGCTGGCTCCTGGCAAAGTCAGAGTAGTAAGAGGATGGGAATAGCATCTACATAAGCTTGTCACATTTTCTCCTGTCTCATGTCTGGAATGTTATGGCAGGATATCAGATTGGTAGTGACATTTACAGGAGATGAAACATTTTTTAATTGGAAAGCTGAAGAGTTTTTAAGACGTTACAGAATCAAATTCCCAGTGTACTTAGAACCATAGCCTTTTAAAAGGGTGAAGGAATCTTAGAGAACACTATTCTCATATTCTCTTTTTACAGGTGCTTTCAAGACCAAGAGCTGTTTAATGTCCACTTCAGAGGTAGGGACATAAATTTGTCATTCTAGAATGAGGGCTACCATTTAGAAGTCCTAACTCCCAATTTAGGGCATTCCCCACCATGTTTTCCTTTCACTTCCTCTTAGTCTACTTCTTCAGGTAATGAGCTCTTTGCGAAGATTTCCTTTATGTCTCTTGCACTACTGTCCCTGAAGAGATGCTTAAAATGAAAATACATGTTATACCTTAAAATTTTTAACCCATTTTGGCACGAGTTATTATTTGAAGGTGATTAGTGAACTTGAGGAGGGAAAGACATGTAAAGGAGGAAGTTCACTGAGTTTGGTAATCTTGAATAGTTTTGCCGGTGCTATAAATACTGACCTTGAATAAAATACTCAGCCCCATTCAACATCTTCTTTGACCGGCTGATGCACTAGGTTTGATTGGAATCAAAACTTGTAATCTTTTAAAGCTATATCACTGTGAAATACAATAAAATCCCCAGTAAGTTTCCAAAATATATCATAAAACATTCTTTAAATGGAAATTTTTAAGAGAGATGGTTATTTGTCAACGAGACTTTATTCCAAGATAAAGCTACTAGACACAGGAATCCTGTTGGATTCGCCTTCTGCACAACTGGGTGACTTTTGTAGATGCTTTTATTCTGGTGCGTGCATTAGAACCAAAAGAGAAACCGCCAAACTAATTGATTAGATAGATCGAGGGCTATTTTTAGATAGAATGAATTTGAAGTTTAGACATATTGAATTTGGAAAAGAACCAATGATAAAAATAGGATTTGATGTAATATACTAAGATATTAGTGTTGAGAACTTTCTCAACAATTTAAATGAGAACTTTTGTCCAGTTTTTGAGTTGGGCAAGGAAAAAGGAAGATTTGCAACAGCATATATCATACTCAAAATCATTTTGATTTGCCTTGAGTACCACAGCAAAAGTGCCTACACTCTGCCTCCCCATATTCCTGGAAACAGTAACACAAAGTGATTTATTTTAAAACAGATATATATTTTATGAGAACAACATCATGCTGCAGCTCTTCTGAACAAAGACTTGGCATCATATAAACCATGTTGCCAAAAATAAGCTATAAAAACAGATATGAAATATAGAGTACAATTCTAGTATCATAAAGCTTCTATAGCAATTGATTATGACAAGAGGTCCCTATGTTCTAGAAAATGGTACACGGAACTCTTCCAACTACAACACTATGTCATAAATGAGGTTGTGTGAATGGAAGTACCTTGCAGAGCCCTGGCTTATATTTAGTACCAGGTCATTTTAATGGACTCAGAACAAATATTCAACATCTATTTGCTCTCCAAAGTGACATGTCTGCATCTACAGTTTTATATCTCAATTTGCAATTTATACTTTTGCTGTGAAAGATTATGAAAGAATGTCATAGACCATGAAGTATTGGAAGATGTGGGCTTCTTCCAAAGATGCCTGAATCGGTCTCTTACTACCCTTTTATTTCGAGGGGAGTCAAGGCATTCATGAATTATCCCCTTACTCTCAGTTTATGTTCTAGGTGCTGTGGGAGGGACTCCTTCTGTATCTGTTATGGTGGCAGATGATGGTGATGAAGAAGGAGAAGAGTGTTTTTTAAGAATAAGAGCTAACCCCACTTCTCTCTCTTTGTTCTGCCATCTCGCTTAATTCAGATGTGCTATTTCAATGGCTCATTCTTCGATATATTCCCCTTTCTTCCCACCGAAAGGTGACAGGGAAATACTGAAGTGTTTGTTTTTTTTTCTCCTTCATAACCGTGGTATACTTGACATCTCCCAGGAGTTCTAAGGTTGGCTAAGGCTGTGTCCTACGCTTGATCCTCCAGGAATGGAGAAACCAGTCCACCAAATGACCAAGTTCCAGAATAGCCAATTTGCTCCAGATTGATTTTTGTAAAGAAAAAAAACTGCAAAATGTTTCTTAACCCTCCGAAGGCGCCAGAATCACCCATGCCCGGGCCCCACCCCCAGGCACTGGGATCCAGGTGTTCCATGTTTGTGGTTTTGTTTTAACGTGCCCTGGCTGAATCTGATGTACAGCCAGGGTCGAGAACTCCTGGGTTAGAACCTTCTTACCTGCCACATGGAAGAATAAGGATTAAATGTTATCAACATCTGACGAATCGATTGAACGTGAAAACGGCTGCTTCTTCACAATCATTGTTTGTTCGTCACCTTTTTACTCCGTCCCATCATCTCTACATTCTTGCCACCTCATTCACTTTCTCCTTTGAATACATGCAGTTAGAAGTCAGGCAGGCTACCATGTATTACTAATGCTAACAAATTCAGCAGCCTGAGTACTGCTGAGGAATTTCACTGGCTGATGTGTTTATCCCAGCCTTGGGATAGAAATGATACATTATCAACAGCCTATAAAGAAAACGGTTTTATCAAAAAATTATCTGCTTGAATTTTATCATTGAAGACAGGTGATTCCTGTCCGTGGAAGATAAACATTCTGTATCCTTTACATAATCTAAGGCACATTTCATGCTAATATTCCGCGTTTGCCTAATGTCTTCCATTGAAAAAGTATTTGCTTGATATCTTAAAACAGGGCTATTATTAACATAGTTCTCAAGGAAAGAAGGTTTTAAAAATAATTTGCTCTGCTCTTCGTTTCTCTTACTGTAAGCATGTGGCAAAGTCTTGGCATCTGTTCAGAATAAATTTTCTGCTTCCTTTCTGCCTTTTAGTCCCTGCACATTTTATCTGAGTTTCCCCCTTTCCCCTCCTTACCCTTTGGTAATCTGCAGGAAACCAGGCTTTACTAATTTGAGTGCTGGCTCCTAAATTACTTATTATTGTATTAGTCCATATTAAGTTAGAGCTGGTGGAGGATTTGTATTGCCCTAGGCGTTATTTAAAAATGTGTAGAAGACAGGTCCCTTCCTACTGCACAATTTTGAGGGGAACTACAAAGGCAGGGGAATCTATGTAGCACTGGCTCTTTGCAGTAGATTGCTCGTTATAAAATGCCACCCGTGAGAGGACATTTTTTGCAAAGGGAGGCTATTCACGAATAGAATTCGGGAGTGGAAACCGACTGTGGACAGAGAGGGTTTCTTCTATTCAGGCACCTATCTGTTGCCCGGCATGCATCCAGATGTTCTCAGGGCTAATGTTTCACAAGGTTGTGTTGCTCTAGAATGAATGCTCGGAGGTTCTCAAACTCGGGTGCCTGGGAATCCCCAGGAGGGCTGGTTAGTACACAGATCGCTGGGCCCCTCCCCCAGCATCTCAGATTCAGAGGTCTGATGTGGAGCCGAGAATTTGCATTCATGAACAAGTGCCCAGGTGACGCTGATGATTCTCACTGAATAATGAACAAATATTAGCAAAACCCAGAAAATTCTGGCCCGAGGGATGAGATAATCATGTAGCCTCTCTGAGCAAAGTTGTACTATTACTTCATCTCACATGTTACCCAACTTACACCCACCTGAAGGAGCCCCCAGGGGTTTTGGGAGGCCTGGCAGAGGGCAGAGAGACAGTGCCCTCAACGGTAGTGCTGGAGAGATGGGTTGGCTTGCATGCCCACACAACTCCATCCTTATGTGGCTTCCTTGCGCGCTGTGATTTGAGGCACTTCTCTGGGAACCAGTTACTGATATTGCAGTGCCTGGCAGTTGACCAGCGCTTCCAGAACCTTGGTGGGAGGGTGGGAATTCCTGTTCGTCATCTGTCCTCCCCACAGCCCTGGATTTGTAAGGTTTCTCCCAGGCCGCCTAGAATTCTATTCCATCTTCCCCCTGGTTTCCAGAAGGCAGGAACAATGAATCCTCCTGGATGACCAGCTTTGTCTGGCTGTCAAGAAACCCTTGTTTTTCAGAGCCCTTAACTACTAGATGATATCAAGACCGAATTCCTCAGCCCCTTGGTGAGAAGGAACATTCAGATAATGACGGTTATTATTTTGAAGCTTTCGCACCAAAGTTTGAAATTCTCCTAAGTGAATAATTTTGGAGGATCTACTTCTTTTCGTTATACAATTGGCTTTCTCATATGTGCATTCAGGTTGCCAAATCTCCTATATAATCCTCATCTCCCATCAAAAAAGAAGAAAAAAAAAGGGTAGTTCTATTTTTGTGGAAAAAGAGGAAAGAATCCAGGAAACATTTCCAGAAGACTGTAGTGTTTTCTTAGCTCCTTTCCCTGATACATATGAAATTCAAGGAGAATTCGGTCAGTTGTTAAGATTACATGAGATTTTTTAAAAAGTTAGTAGAAAATTTAGCTTCCTCCCCCTCTCCCCCACAAGAAACTATGAAAAATTTCTAGTTTACACAATTTTAACAAAAGGATTCCTTTATAAAGACCACTGGTTTCTTATTCCTAAGTGTTTTCATAGGAAGGTAGTGTGGGGTTTGTGCGTGCCAGGGTTTCACTGTCCCTTTGCAGGTGACGCAGGCTGGGCGCCAGCCTGCAGAAAGCTCACCTGCCTTACCCTTGTGTTAGAATGAAGAACAAGCAATTGCCTAAGTCTGTTATAAGATTAGGGTTCTGGGCCCTTCCTGTTGCTTCTACTCCTCTCCCTTCTCTCTCTCGGAGTTCTACATTCTAAAGTTCTGCTTTGAATTTTAAAGAAAATAGTTTCAGTGTCTTTCATGAGATTTTTACATCATTTGGTCATGAGCTTCAGAGAATAGTTGAGGAGAGCTGTTCTGATATCTCTGTTTTTCTTTTCAGTTTCATTTGTTATTTTAAAAAGCTTCAAGATACCATTAGGAGAACCCACAGATAGTTCCTTTGGCAGGGATGGTCATTAGAAAAATACGTTTGGCCCTTCACCAAGGCAGTGACCTATAAATACTCCTGCTGGCTCTTCTGTCTCTTCTTTGTGATTCACTGGGATGGAGATGTTGGCTCGATGCCATGAGGAAAATGTTATTTTGAGGATAACCAAAGATTTTAACCTGTACCCGGATTAAAGACACTGATTATGGCCTGGATGATTTCGTGTAGCCCCAACAGTCATTCTGGAGATAACATCTCTGTTCTGCCCTGTGAGTGGGGCGCAGGGTACCAGTTCACATAATCAAAGTTTTATACAGTGGCAACAAACATTGCCCTCATTGACCCTGAGGTACAGCCAGCTCCAGAGGGCCGACATGTATACAGATGTGTATGTGTGTATGTGAGATCAGAATAATTGTATTTGATACAGTTTTAGTGTTAACTATTGATACATCAAAAATATTAATAACATTTAAAATATATTGCTTGTTCATTTGGCACTGTATGTGCATTGCCTTACTTAGTCCTCACACAGCCCCGTGAGGGAGATTCTACTACAATCCCCATTCTACAGATTAACAAACTGGGGCTAAAAGAAGATAAATCCCTTGTTCATGACTTCACAGCCAGAGAGTAGCAGCACCAGAATGTGCACCCATATCTCTCTAGCTTAAAAGAAAAGTTCTTTTCTTTTTTCTTTTTTTTTTAAGATTTTATTTATTTATTCATGAGTGACAGAGAAACAGGTAGAGGCAGAGGGAGAAGCAGGCTTCAGGACCCCGGGATCATGACCTGAGCTGAAGGCAGACACTTAACCGAATGAGCCACCCAGACGCCCTAAAAGCAAAGTTCTTATATGCTTTGCTACCCTGGGGAAACGTGTAGTTGTGATCTAGTGTGGTCAAAATTTGTTGACTGTGTAATGCCATTCCTCTTCTTTGCCAGCTTTGGGTTTTTCATGTGAGAAAGGGCACGGGAGTCTGCCTCCCACTACCCACCCCCCAGTCCAGTGCCTCACCTGTAGTGTTCTGTTATTCGTTTAAGCCACAAGGGAAATAGAAAGTAGCTCCCATCCAAGCAAGATTTGGGGACCAGGTCTAGTCCATCTCAATTTCACAAGAACATTATATTTCCCACTAATAATAGGAACTATTTTTGTTGAACGCTGTGCCGTTGTCTGAGGACATGATCAGGCCCAAGCTTCTTCAGTGGGGTATTTACTTCCTGGAAGCGTGGCTGAGACCGTTTATTCAGTAGGTTCTCAGCCCGATCTGTTTTCCTGGCTGCCCTAGATATTGTTAGGTTATTCTTTGAGTCATAGTCAGCATCACAGGAGCATGAAATACCGATTTCTCTATTGGTATTGTAGTAATTATTGTATAAGATTGCATCAATAATTATAATTATTAACTGTACCAATATTAATAAATAGTGCATTGATGTTGATAATTAACATTTATTGGGTAACAAGTATTAAAGTGTTAGCCCTAATTTGAGTAACAGCATAGTCCTAAAGCCTATAGATTTGACATTAAGAAAATATTATGTTATACATTAATATTGATTCCTTTTAAAGTGAAGAATGCTGGGGCACCTGGGTGGCTCGGTCATTAAGCATCTGCCTTCGGCTCGGGTCATGATCCCAGGGACCTGGGATTGAGTCCCACATCGGGCTCCCTGCTTGGCGGGGAGCCTGCTTCTCCCTCTCCCACTCCCCCTGCTTGTGTTCCCTCTCTTGCTCTCTCGCTCTGTCAAATAAATAATCTCTCTCTGTCAAATAAATAAACAAAATCTTTAAAAATAAATAAATAAAGTGAAGAATGCTTTTATTTCATCTTTTGATATATCCCTGAAGAATTGTTCTTTTGCGGGCAATTTCTTTCTTTAAAGATTTATTTATTTATTTTAGAGAGAGAGAGAGAGAGAGAGAGAGAGAGAGATTGTGCAAGTGGGGGGAGGAGCAGAGGCAGAGGGAGGGGTGGAGGCAGAGGGAGAGAAACTCAAGCTGACTCCCCGCTGAGAGCAGCACCCTACACAGCGCTCGATCCCACTATCCATGAGATCATGACCCGAGTGGAAATCACGAGTCAGATCCTAAACCAACTGAGCTACCCAGGTGCCCCTGGAGGCAATTTTAAATTTAGAGACAGTTTGGGCTGTATAGCATCAGGATAATTCCCAAGGTGGGGCCAAGAGGATTCACAAAAGGAGCTAACATTTGAAACATCTGGAAATAACAATAGCTACTATTTATCAAGAATTTACTACGTGCCAGGCATAGTGCTAAGCCTTTTATACACATTTTTCATTTTATAAGCTGTAAATATTTTTATCTCACTTATCAGATAAAAACAAATGAGGTTCACAGATTAAGCATATGATTCAAGAGCACACAGCTCCTCAGTGGTGGACCCTGGAAGCCAGGGCCTTTGCATAAGATGCTCAATTGCCTGTTAAAACCCAAAAGTCTCTTATCCTGTTCAAAATGTCTCATGTAGAGTGATCAGATAGAGCCACAGCATTTGTGAGAATTGACTCAGTGGAGCTTCATGTAATTATCTGGACACTGGGCAGGGTTCAGGCCATCTAATTGGTGCAAGGCTGAGGGATTGGCTGATTGATGTGATAACACAGAGATGGTACCTCTCCATTCACAAGTGCCATGTATCCAGGAGGGAGAAGGCCAGGCATAGATTCTGCTATAAAAGAGAACTGATTCCAGGTGGGAAAGTACTCGGCTAATGGTATTTAAGTAAGCTCACAGCTGGAAGATTGCAGGAACTAGAACTATTTTCCCAGGGCAGGAAGGGATGGTGATTTCTCTAGATTTGTGCATCTTTTTTCTTACGGTGGATGGACTCTGAACAGGTATGTATTGGTATCTGAAGAGGCAAGATCGATTCTAAAGGACCCTAGCATCAGACGGCGGGTGTTTGAATCCTACCTAATTCTACCTCTTATTAGCTTTGTAGGCTTAGGCAATTTACACAGTCTGTCTGACCCTTACTTTCCTGATCTGGAAAAATAGCACCCCTTTATCCCATCCCCCCCACCATTGTTGTTGCTGTTGTCAGAGAGGCTGAGTGCACTTAACAGTTGCCTTGGATAGAGCAGCTCAAACAGAGCCCTACCAAATTAGGCACCTTTGTAAGAGTCATTAAGACAGCAGGCATGGAAATGAATGCCAATAGTTAGAGCTGGCAAAGGGGTGAGCATCTCGCACAATCCTACACCTCTGGGAGTGGTAGGGCAAGTCAGATAACTCTTGGCAGGTCAGTTAGGAGATCTAGTAGCCAAAGTCCTAAAAAGGTGCAAGCCCTTTGACCTAAGTTCTGCCCTAGGAACAATGTGACATATGCCTACATTATATACAAGGATGTTAATTGAAGATATTAAAAATCGAGATTTATGTTTATGGACATGAAAAAATTTGATAATAAAGTAAGTGAAAAAAGACAAGCAACAAACATGATGTATATAGATGTCTCCTATTAAAAATATGCCTTAGTAGACACCCTCAAATGAGTTTTTTTTTTTTAGCTTATTTAAAGCCAGAGGTAGTAAGTTAACTTCTCACTTAACGAAATTTGCTTACACTTTGTTTTTGCTAGTTATGCACAGTTTTATCCATTAATATCTACATATAAACTTTCATCCAAATATTAAGAATTATGAGATCCTGATGGGAGTCTTGTTCCCCTGGGGAGGAGAATTATGTAGTACTGTCATCCTCCTCATCAATATACCTGAGGCATGCAGCAGATTCTAGTCAGGGTGGTAATATTTCTCACTAACTCGAGCAAGTGCAATTTAAAAAGGCTCCTTCCACCCTGAGATTTTGATACAATTCCAAGGGACATGAAACCTACACATTCTACCATTATACCCACTGAGAATCCCTGATATGGAATAAAGGTTTTTGTCACAGGCTAAATTCTTTTGAAGGTCAAATGGATTCTATGTGGATAGGCCTCCTATGAACTAGTTAATACTGAAGAAATATGATTATTTAATGTTCATTCTGAATATACAATTTAGGCAAAGTCAGCCCTTGTCATTTAGGAAGAATATTGCTTTTTTGTTTTAATGGTCTCCATAGCAGACCATTACTTCGCTCTCATTTCCTCTTCCCGTAGTTGGATTTACCTCCAGGCAATATGGCAGTTTAAAGGACCATGATGAAACAAGCCAGGGATATGGCATTTAGTTTAGTGTATCTTTTTAAAAAACAAAACCAGGTATCTGTAGTATGTCTTTTAATGCCCAGCTGCTGGGAGGTTGGCCCAGTGTTTGTGTTAGTGGGTGTCAATAAATTTCATTCTAATATCCACATCGACATACGGGCAGAAATTCATTTTTATGTGAGCATGTGAGGGCTGGTCTTTTTTGACAGGTAACATCCAGCATGTAGCAATAAAAATACAAGGGCTAGGTATTTACTGTCTTCTGAAAGGTCAGGAGAATTACAGTGTAATGACAGACCCCTTCCATCGCTATACATATATATTTACACGCCCCAAGCCTGAAAACATTAGACACCAAGTCCTGGGGCACATCTATTCTTATCGAGTGAGCTGTGCTTTTAAGAGAGAGGGGCAACCCCAACTTAGAAACCAACTCTTCTCTAAAAATCAAGTTGACTATAGATAACATTTTCCTAGAAAGCCAGTATTTACAAATCAGGGATCAGTGAGCTTTTTCTGTAAAGGGTTAGACAGTAAATATTTTAGGCTTGGTAGGCTGTTGCAACTAGTCAAATCTGCTGTTGTAGCAGAAAGCAGACATAGACAATATGTAAACAAATGGGTGTGTAACTGTGTTACAATAAAACTTTATTTATAAAAACAGATAATGAACTGGATTTAGATTGTCAATGCCTGTTATAAATGACACTCATTTCCCAGACAGACCAGCTCACAGAAACTTATCTTACAAGTTGTTGATACACTGTACATTTACAACAATACTATTTTCTTTAAAATTTATGAATTTAAAAATCAAAATAGCACCAGCGCATGTCAAAAAGCAACTGCTTGAGGGTGCCTGGGTGGCTCAGTCGGTTAAGTGTCCAACTCTTGATTTTGGCTCAGGTCATGATCTCAGGTCCTGGGATTGAACCCTGTGTCAGACTCTGTGCTTAGCGTGGAGTCTGCTTGTCCCTCACCCCCTGTCCCTCCCCTCACTCTCTCTCAAGTAAATAAATAAATAAATAAATAAATAAATAAATAAAATTTAAAAAATCTTTAAAAAAAAGCAACTGCTTGTTTCTCTTTCAGCTGTTTCTTCTGGATGTTGCATTCAAATCTCAATTTAATAGGCTTTTATTGTTGTTTCCTAATTTCTTAGTTTAAGACATCTGTTGACTTTCTGCTAAAGTAGGTGAGACCTGAGTTCATGATGCTCTCACGTGCCCATTCCTCCATATTTGCAAGATAATTACATTGCTATTTTTGTTTCTCTACTTGTTACTGAAATTCATAGCAAAAATTCATATTTACTTCTTAAATATATAGCTTGACAAATTTTCACTAATAGTATCTTTAGTTTCCCCTTTTTTGTAAAATCAAAATTTTAGCACTCCTGCTCTTCCTACCTCTTTTTATTTTTGTATAACAAGGCTCATAATATTTCATTCTGTTATATAACTGCACTTAAATCTTTAGAGCTTTATGGAAAGTTTGATTCTAAAAATTGAAAATCAAATAATATTCGTATTTGCAATGTACTGTTTCCAGTGGTGCTAATGATCACTATGGTTCAATTTTCTTATTTGTATAGCTTTCTATTTTCATGGAATTTCCAAAAGCCATTCTTTTTCCTGCCCTTTTGGTGTTTCGTCACAACTTCAGTTTTTGTCACTCTTCAGCTTTTGTTCACTGCAGTGCCCTTTCCTGGGGCCCTCCTGCCCAGCATCCTCCTCACTGCTCTCCAGGCCTACTGTTCACCTGTCACTCTGGGAATTTGCTGCTTGGGATCAGCTGGTTCCTCCAGATCATCCTGTCTTTATTCTATGGCCACTCCTTCATTTTGGTTGTACCTATCTTCAGTTATATTCCTATGAAAAAGGGTGTGGAAGGACTAACTTTTCTGAGTCTTTGGATGTCTGAAAATGTTTCTGTTCTCAGTTTGGATTGATGATTAGTTTGAATATAGAATTCTAGGATGAAAGGTATTTCCTTCTGGCTCTATTGTTAGAAATTGGGAGGGTGAATGTTTAGAGTGGGGTGGAGGGAAAGGGAAACTTGGCAGTAGGGGTTTTCTTTGTCTTTAGTCTTCTAGGCTTGCTCCTGAAAAATCTGATTCTCATTTCTGCTGATTCCTATCCCTTTGGAGAGGATGGATTTTTCTTTTTCCTTCTCTTTATACAAAGGTGAATTTTGTGGTGAATTCAAATTCTAAAATTGTCATAGTTTTATGAGAAATGAGAATATTTCCTGATTTGTCTTCCATTTAATTTTTTTGCTGTTTTTTGTTTTTAAGATTTTATTTATTTATTTAACAGAGAGAGACATAGCGAGAGAGGGAACACAAGCAGGGGGAGTGGGAGAGGGAGAAGCAGGCTTCCCGTGGAGCAGGGAGCCCGATGTGGGTCTTGATCCCAAGACACTGGAACCATGACCTGAGCCAAAGGCAAACGCTTAACGACTGAGCCACCCAGGCGCCCCTTCCATTTAATTTTTAATTTAATTTTTTTAAAAATTTATTTATTTATTTTAGAGAGAGACAGAGAGAGCGAGAGGGAGGGGGAGAGGGAGAGAAAGGAAGAGAGAGAATCTCAAGCAGACTCTCCACTGAGTGTTGAACCCATTTTGGGGCTCAATTACTTGACCAGGAGATCATGACCTGAGCTGAAATCGAGTTGGATGCTTCAATTTGGTTGTACATACCTTCAGTTACATTCCTATGAGAAAGGGTGTAAAAGGACTAACTTTTCTGAGTCTTTGAATGTTTGAAAATGTTTTTATTCTCAGTTTTGATGATTAGGTTGAATATAGAATTCTATGATGAAAATTATTTCTGACTGAGTGACCCAGGCACCCCAATTTTTAATTTTAAAAAGAACTTTCAATTACCAGGATTTTTCCCTGCTTACTCATTCTTCCTTTTCTATAGCATTCTCTTCTTGTTTTATGGTTCTTGACTCTTTTTAGGATGTTTGATATTTCTCTTCTATTGCCTGTTTTATTTGTGTTTCTTCCAGAAAATCCTGCTTGTGCTCTTTCTTGTTGGAGGTTTTCCTCATTTATTTGTTAACCCATAATTGTCCATTCATAATTAAGAACCAGGCCATTAACCAGATGTTTTGTGACTCTCTATGTGGGCTTAGTTTTATGAAAGTTGAGTGGGTTGGAGTCTGAATGTGGAATCTTTTTTCTCTGGGCCCTTTCAGGTCTTTACAAAAGATTGTTACAAACTTACGTATTTATTTATTTTGTGGAGAGGAAGACTCTAGGATGGCAGAGAGAAGAGAGAGAAGGGGGATGAGAGAAAGCGATCGTTAGTTGGGAGGATGGAGGAGGCACATAAGTGGTTGGTTGCTCCATATACAGGCTTTCAAATTCTTTTTCCTGCTATATATCTTACTCTCATTCTTTGTCCTACAAGAAATCCCAAGTGTTGCCAGGTTCTACGCAATCAGTTGAGTCTTTCTCATGGATTTTCATATGAGAGACTCCTGTTCTGCCATGTTTGGTTATCACCTTTACATCTTCTTTCTGGCTTGAATCTCTCACCTTCTTTGGACCCTTGCATTAAAAAAAAAATGTGTGGATTTATGCTATTTTTAATCTTTTAACTCTCATTTTAGGGGGGTTGATTGATGGAGAAAAGATTAACTTGTGTGGTCAATTAAAAGTCACAATATTGTTTTCTACACTTTATTTTGAATTGTTATTAGCCAATATTTTATGCTACTGTCCATTTTACAGCAGTATGTGGGTTGGCCTGCCAACTCAACCTTTATCTATAGTGGTATATGGGTTGGCCTGCCAACTTAACCTTTATCTGTGTGAGAATTAATTGAAACTCAGGATGCTAGAACCATATTTCTATCCTACATTATAACATTACTCCTTCTACTTCCCTCTTCTTAATTCCCTCCTTGTACATTCATTGTGTGATGCTTGCAGAGACTCAGGGGGTTGGAGGGGTGGGTAGCTCCTTGTTCATTAGGCAGCCAATACCTGTCAGCTGCTCCTGAGGTGATTTCTACTTCCTCCTGGCCTTAGTCCCTACAAGCAACCTAAGAGAGAATAAGTTTATCTGTGGCTTTGACAGTAAATTTTATTTTGTTAATGTTAGAGTGTGTCTTGCTTTTTGGGCCTGAAAGTTTCAAACATCCCAAATTAATCCTTGAAGATTACAGAACATTCTAATGAAAATACTCATGTTTCTTGTGTGCCTTTCCCTTTGCTAAGGCCTTTCCCTGCACTCTTAAGAACACTCACAAGCTGGCTGGGACACAGGGCCCCTGCGGTGCTTATTTCACCTTAAACACAGAACAAGGCATTGCTGAAAACGGGTTGTTAACTCACTTCCTCTCTCCCACTTTCTATCCAGCCCTTATGATATAAATGTTTGTTCTTCAAAACGAGGGAGAGAAATCAGATATTTGGGATGTCTGGGCTCAGCTCCTTAGGAAGACTTATGTCTTATTGATATTCCTGGCTTTTTCATGCAAATTCAGGATAAATCAAGCTGTTGATTCACAGATTTTCTAGCTCTGATTCCCCTCCTGGGAAAACAAATGTTGTCATGGTTCATTATCTGTTCTTTAGGCTCTACTCATATTTTAACTTAATAAGAAGCTTTGCAACACATACCTAAATGGTAAGTTTTGAGGCTCCCAGGGTTAAAAAGTTATTAGAAAGCTGTAAACTTAGGCTTTTTTTTTTAAACTGAAGATAAATAAATAAATAAATAAATAAACAAACAAATTAATTAAAACACCTGAGGCTGATTTTCTAAGCCTTCCTACAAGCGTCAGGAATGGTCAGACCCAAAGTTTTCACGAGGCTTCCCAGATGAAGTCCTGGTGGTGGCATGCCCCATGTAAACTGAGGCTCCATCTGATTCCACTTGAACCCATTACGTTGTGTGTGAGTATGGACTAGTCGTTGCTCTGCAGTCACATTCCTTATTCGGATAAGTGTCCACGAGAACACCGTCCATCATTTCCTTCTAATTGCTTGTGTATCATCCGGGAACCTTGTCTAGACTGGTCTTCAGAAACCTGGAATATATGTGCAGTTAGGAGAAAGCATCTAAGTGACCCATGTCCAGCCTGTGATGGGCTTTCCACTTAGAATGTTTTCCTCTGGGATAGCAGAGTCTCTGAATGCAGAGTATGCTATTGTGTTTATTAAACCAAAATACAACAGGAAATAGGGGAGTGGTTAAAAGGAAGTCAGTGGCTATCTAGCTGAAGTATGCATAGTTCTGTTGACTACAAGCTACCCTTGTCCTGCGATCTAGAGCTCAAATTTGGTCTTGGTCAGTTAAGCATCTGCCTTCAGCTCAGGTCATGATCCCAGGGTCCAGGAATTGAGCCCCACATTGGGCTCCTTGCCTGCTCAGTGGGGAGTCTGCTTCTCCCTCTCTTCCTGCCACTCCTCCTGCTCATGCTATCTCTCAAATAAAGAAATAAAATCTTAAAAAATAAATCCACCGTAAATGGATGCCGATGACCCCTCTTGAAGGTGGCTTGCTGTGACAGCCCTGGCCATAGCAGGTCCCACCTTGATGATGTGCATCCAAGACCACATGTATGGACTTAAAAGGGGAGAGGGTCTCATCAACTTTTTTTTTTAGGATTTTTTTTAAAGATTTTACTTATGTATTTGAGAGAGAGAGAGACAGAGCACAAGCAGAGGGGGAGAGGCAGAGTCAGAGGCAGAGGGAGAAGCAGACTCCCTACTAAGCAGGGAACCCTATTGTGGGGATCAATCCCAGGACCCTGAGATAATGACCTGAGCCGAAGACAGATGCTTAACCAACTGAGTGCCGCTGGGACTCATCAACTTCTAAAAAGGAATTACTGCTAATGAAAATCCATATGAGTCCTTGGAAAATTACGTTTTTTGTGTATTTACTCATTCATCTTACACTGTTCTGCTCACAGGATTGCACTGTGAGAGATGTGGGTAGCTTAGACATGGATCATGAACACTGTCCTTCAGGGCTCTGATGAGCTAGTGCTGTAGGTAATGTAGATTATGAAAATAACTTTAATACAGTAAAAATATAATATATTCCAATATAATCTGTTATTTATAATATATTAATTATATTATTATAATACATAATATATTATGATAATATATTAGGGTTAAGTTGTCAGACCAACCCATATGCAGATATAATTATATTTATTTAATATGGTACAAATATGTAATAACTATAACACTGCAAACTTTAAAGTACTAGCTCACATTTAAGTTGGGTGAGTAGACTCTTACGTGGTACCACTGATTTTACACGAATATGTAAATAAATACAAGCTGACTTTTTAAATAAGATCTGGCAACATTCAAAATACAACTTTAAAAAATTTGTAACGGGGCTTCCAGTTTGTGAAAATGATGCAGGCATAGTTAAAATCTATATTGTTGTTTTATAAATATTTAACTATCACATAGTATCTGAGTATATGTATGTATATAAATGCAATACAATGAATGTATAAACTGTAGGGAAAACAGTGTAATCAGCAAGGCATAGACCATTGCTCTGATTCCCTTGACCTTTTCTAATTTACCTTTCTTATTCTCACCTAGAGTTGCTCGTCTAAAAGTCATTCTTTAAAAAACAAACAAAATAACAACAAAAAAAACTCTTAGTGGGATCTCAAACTGCAGCCAAATTGAAATGAACAGAGTGCATTTTGTGAATCAGGAGCCTAAAGTTTCATTTCTAAATATCTGCTTTTTTATTTTTAAAGATTTTATTTTATTTATTTACTTATTTATTTATTTGTTTATTTATTTATTTGAGAGAGAGAATGGGCACGCACAAGCCCGGGTGGAGGCTGGGGTTGGGGGCAGAGGCAGAAGGAGACAAGCAGACTCCTTGGGGAGCAGGAGGCCTGACTGTGGGCTCAATCCCCCTAATTGACTGAGCCACCCAGGCACCCCTAAATATCTGCTTTCAAATTTTTCTCTAGCTTTGCCTGGAGGATTTTCCCAGAGTATCCTTGGTAAATTTTTTCCAGAATATTCCTGATCATGGCAGATATTGCCAAATGTACTAGTTAACATTAGCTGTTAAACACTACAACAAACAACCTTTAGATAGCTCATATATGATAGTAGTTTATTTCCTGTTAATATAAGGTCCAAATCAGGTATTTCTTATAGGAAGAGCAGCTTTCCTTCAAGGAGCGATTCAGGGGCCCATACTCCTTATATTTTGTGGCTCTGTCATCTTTAAAGTACTAGCTCTGATTTCCCTTGCAGTGCTTGTCTGCATCTAGCCAGTGGAAGAGAAAATGGGGGGAGACAGAGACCACATTGGTAGGCTATTACAGCCAAGCCTGGAAGAACTGCACATGCCTTGTGTTCACATTCGATTGACTGTAAATATGTGTCCATACCTAACAAAAAGGCCACAGGGTATTGTAGCTTAGCTGTTTCAGGTTTTGCAATGCCTGGCCAATTTCGGCCTCACCAAATTTTGTATGTTTTCAGGTTGTGTAGACAAAAGTGAATGGTTTTGAAGGCTTTGGTATTAATTCACAACTGGCTCTAACCTCAAACTTCCTCTTTCTTTGGGATTTTGGTATGTGTGGTAAAGGTACACTACTTCCCATAACAAAAATAGAATTTCCTTCCAGCATCTTTTGCTTCTGTGGGTCCTTCAATGAATTTTTGCTGGCAATACTTCAGTGTGGGGAGGAGGTGAAGAGTTTTCTAAAGCCAGTTGGTACTGCCTGGAGCTGACTGCATATGTTTCATCCCAGCTCTGAGTTAAGTGACAGCATATTGGTAGTTTGAAATTGGCCATGATGATAGCACTTACACCACAGAGATTGGCAAGGGGTGAGGGCATTTCCCCTAGAGAGCCAGTTCTTAAACAATTACCATTACACCACTGGCTACTTTTCTTATTACCCAGTGGTCATGGTTTGAGATGGCTGGAATGGCTAATGAGCACTTTATCAAAGACTGGGAGAGACCAACTATCAACAGGAAATTAAAAGATTAAATAAACTCAGTGAAAAAGCAAGAAATTGTCCAGCTTCTTCTTCCTCAGCCTGAGAACAGCCACTTCAGGGATGGTTCCTGGCTCCCCACTGTCTTCTTGTGTTGGGTGTGATCTTAGGAGAGGCCTCCTACCAAGTCACAGCTGAAGAACTCTAGCGCATAAATGAGATGTGGAGATCCTTTTCCCACCTGCTACAGGCCTGGCTTCTGGGTCCTGGACTTCACCAGATATTGACATTGTGATTGCCTTTCCTGTCCGTGAAGCCCTTGGTGCTCATGTCTTGCCCTACAGACCCCCAACGGGAGGTCTTGGGCCATACCAACACTAGTCATGAGTCCAGTAGGGTGAGATGGGGGAAAGTCAAGGTCAGTTCTGTAGGTGATGCATGTGTTTGCATGGCAACTGGGACCAGCAAAGGGAGCTTGGTGTCAACATGTAGTACCAGGTGGCAGCTATAATCATATGAACTTTTAATTGAACAATTATATCCAGTAAATACTTTGTGTGCCTATTGTGTGAAAGATGCTTCAGAGCATACAAGGGATACTTTGCAGCGTAGAATCAAATAGTGGGGTTTGAACAAGCATCTAACACACAGAGGTAACTCTGAAAGTGAAACTTCATTGGAACTTAATTAATTACAAAAATTAAATTTGCTTATAAGCACATATAAGTCCTACCATCCTATGCATCAATTAAATTTATACATTTTAATTCAATTAAGAATATCATATGTGGTAGTTTGTGGAATACTGCTCCCGGCACCTTTCTAGATACAGATATGATTAAGTCCCATCCCTGCTTTCTAAGAACTTAATATCTATAATAACTAAAGTCAAAACAGTCACAAATACTTTAATAAAAACAGACTTCCTATAAACAGTGGTTTGGAACTATATAGGAGGTAGAGATTAATTTTGGGAAAAGAACTTTTATGGAGGAAATGGCACTTGGTTTTGATCTTGAGAAATGAGTAAGATTTTAACAGACAGGCAGCAGTGTTCCCAGGATGAAGGCCCAGCTTGAGCACAGAGTTGGAGATAGGAAATGCAAGGCGAGTTAGAGGTGTATATTGGGCAGGTCATGGGCAATGATGTCGAGAAGATAAGTCAGGGTCTTATCATAAGGAGTCTTAGCGCCAGGCAGGAGGGCTTGAATTTGATGTCGATGATCTGAGTGCAGGCAATAACTACTTTCTTTTTTAGGAAAAATAATCAGATTGACTCTTATTCATCTGAATAATGACGTGTCAGAGGATGAAGAAGGAAGGCAAATTCTGAGAATAATGGAAAAGTGCAATTGATGTGTCAATGCCAAAACTATTAGAGTTGGCGACACAAGTAGGAAAGGTACTTGTTTGGAAGCAGAATTGTTACAGGACTTGTAGACATGTTTTGAACCCAGGCACAGCGAGGATAAGGTTGTCCAGAGGGGAAGCCAGAACACAGTCCCTTCCACACACACATAACGCGTCTCCACCTGGGGTCAGGTGCTGCACTCAGAGGAGTGAGAAGTAGTTCCTGAATTTGGCTTATAGGAGAGGCAGGGGGTAAACGAGTAAGTGCTGTATTTCCAAGGTCCAGCTGTGGACAAAAGAACAGAAAAGATGACAATTATCACTTAAAATCCACCTGTTAGGTGCCAAACTCCATTGTGATCATTTTGCATCTATTAATTCACTTAGCTGTCCTGACAACCCTGTGAAGCAGGAAATTTTATTATCCCTATTATCTAGATGAAGAAACTGAGCATGAAGTAATTTCCCCAGGATCACCCAACCAGGCAGTGGTAGAGGCAGAAATCAAACCCAAGTCCATGCTCTGAACCCCTACATCCCATCAGGAGAAAGTTGGGTGTTGGTTAGAGAGGGGCCAGGAAAGCTGGGGAAGGGTATTTCAGGAAGTGAAATGGACACGTAGAAAGGCATACAGGGAGTTGGAAGAAGGAGGTTGGAGATGAGAGATGAGTTTTACGTTGGGCATCATGTGGACTGCTGTGCTATTTGGGTGGGGGTGTCACACTAAGGAGATGATGGGTGGATGCTTTTGGAATTACCAGGCATTCTCTGTTTGAGCTCTTTTCTCCACATTGGCAGACACACTCTAGTGCATTCCATAAATGTTCCATTTCTACGTGAGCAGGGAAATGCATCTCAAGAAGGTAGATGTGTACTACCTTGTAGCTCTTTCCTAAGGGGTTCAGTTGTTAATTAATAACCCACTCCAATTTAGTAATCAAGCAATATTTTAAGTAACAGTGGATGCTATGGGAGTACTTGCCCCCAAACCTTGAGGAACCCACACTTTGGTGGGTGTCCGGCCCAACTGTAGCAAGTACCTGAGTAGCTCCTTCCAAACTTGGAAAGATGGAGTTGAAAGAGAAAAAATTATTGTCTCTGCAGTTTCCAAGCAGGGATTGAACTGCTTAACCTGAGTGTGCATGTGTGAGTATGTGTGTGATTGTGAGAGTGTTTTCTATTGTGATGCAGGAATCAGTGGCTCATACATGAAGGAGAAGTAAAAATCTTCCTAGAGATTCAGTATTTCAGAAGTTCTCTGATATTTTGAGGTTACAATATTTTAGGTTAACAGAAGGAAATCTTTGTGGCCCCTGGCTTCGGGGAATTGCGTTAGCTGCCCCTCCCTTAAATTGTTTTTACTCTGACTAATACAGGGGTGAAAAAAAGACCATTTGAACAGTGATTGTCTTGTATCCCCCTTCTCTCTGAAGATGAAGGCAAATGGAACTCCAGTCTCCCTGGCATAGGCCAGTTCGGTGGTCTTTCATGTAGGGAGTTCTGAAAGAACACCAGCCGTGGCCATTGTTTGCAGAGTAACTATTCCATATGAAGAGAGAAATCACATTTTGAGACAGCCAAAAAAAAAAAAAATTGCCATTGTATCCATAGTTCTGTTTTAAGTGGTACTACTGAATTAAAGCTTTTTAAGGAAATTAAATATAGAGGCAGGGGTGGGAGAGGGACATTGTGTGATGTATGTTAGCTGCAATACTAAACACTCCAATATAACATCAATATGTAATTTGTATGATTACAAATATTATTGGCATAAATAATTCATGCTGTTGTTTTTTACTTACTTGATTAATAGCATCTTTGTCATTTTTATCAGTCATGATGCCATTGCAATCTTGCGCATTGTGTTTAAAGAATACTTGGGGAAATGTTTCAACTGTGTGTCTGGATGGTATAATGTATTTATTCATTTAGCCAGATGAAATGAAATAGAGAGTGTTTAATATGCATGTCTGCATTACACTAGATCCTCTCTAAATAAATTACAGACAGTATTACTCTTTCATTGTAATAAAAATTATGGTTTGATTTTTTTGCAAGAAGCCAAAATGCAGCCATTTTGTACTTTAATTACAATTTTTTGAAGCTTTTCAAATGAGCTCTGAATAATCCTGAAATTTTTTTGTATTGCGATGCCAATAGGAAGACTTTGATAACTTGAGTGAACTATGTCAAATATGAGTTGAATTATTCTGAGGAAGAAAAGATCTAATAGCTTTTCTACTCATGGGGTGAATATACTTCTGGAAAGTGCCAATTGCTGTGACTCAGCCATGCCTTTGTATTTGTACCCCTCTATGTAGCAGCCATTGTTTTGGCTATGGAAGCACTTCTGAGATCTGCTGGCTACAATGTCACCAGCACAATGCATTTTGTCCCTTTCCTGCTCTCCCCTTGCAATGCGCTGTCCCCTGTCCTGGAGCTCCGGTCTTGGGCCTGTCCAATGCCTCCTCCCAGAGCATTCCACCCAGATCTTCTCGCTGAATTACCATCCCCCTCGGCGTCTCCCCAAAGGAAACTCTGATTCCTTCCCACAGCTGGTCTCTACTTACTTAAGGTTAGAAACCATGGAGTCACTGAGGTAATTTATGTTCAGGTTTGGGGAAATAGCGTCAGAGAAAACCAGAATTGGACAGTAGTTAAGTCAGTAAGAAGAGATTATACTCAGGACTGTTGCACTAGGGGGAAAGAGACCTCAGCATAGAACTGGCCTCAACCCCAAATACAACAAGAACAGTGGGGATTTGTAGCCAAGGAGCAGGGTGGGGTGTTTGGATGAAAAAAACATGCAGAGAGTAGGGTAATTCTTGCCAACATACCTAACTGGAAGCTTGCTGAAGGCAGTCCAGGGTCATACGATATTACCTGGGGGCAGTGGGGTATGAGGAAAGTGATCAGATATCAAGGGTGAAGGATTCTGGCAAAACCTACTTGACAGGATTCTTGCTAAAACTGGGCATTGTAAAGGTGGGCATGGAAATCCCAAAGTGGAGACCCAGTTGTCAAAAGGCTACAGAGGAACCTAACTCAAGTTTGGTCATGGAGAGACTCATTGTCAGTGGCAAGCCTAATATTCTAAGAGGAGGGGTTGTATATTAAATGAGGAGCCAATCATCTCCAAATCTGGGTCAAGTTTGAGCCAGTCTCACAGACCTGTACCCCTGAAACAAATAATACATTATACATTAATAAAAAACAAAAAGTTTGAGCCAGTCATCTGGGAGGACTCCTCAGTCCTGAGGTAATGCAGTGCGGTGGAAAAGCCATGTTAGGTTTCTTCTGACGAAGAGGGAAAAGGAGGCTGAGGGTTCAGGGCCATTGTCAAGGTTTGGAGTTGGCAGGGAATGGATGTGAGGTCTGTGTCCATCTTGTATACTGGTGAATCCTTAATCCCTAGGGATATATAGGGACAGCTCTGTGAATTTGTTAGATGGATGAATCAATTTCACAGATAAGGGAACTGGTACATAGAGAGCTTGAACTTTGCTCTCTTCTCTTACACAGCTCAGTTTTATGAAAAATTACCTTTATTTTTCCTGTCATATCCAAAGGCCATGGTCATTAGAAAATTGTCAGTACTTGCTGTAGGGACAACACTGTAACTTATTCATGAGGAGAGAGGTTGATGGCCATGTAAGTATTTAGTCTCTGGAATCAGAAGGATGAAGGCTAAGCATTTTGCTGTCGTAATAGTACATTGTAGTCTGGAGACTTGCCTTGAAAGGAAGAATTTTTGAACTCATGACCATCTCCCATGACTGGAACATTCAGATGGAGAGAGGGGTCCATTGGACCTGGGAGTATCTGATTCTCATTGCAGGCTCCTGAGACCTGCCATGTTCCTTCTCGACTGGGTCTTATCTCTTCTTGGAAGAGGTTGGCCCCTCATTTTCTCTCAGAACCTGCTGATCTAGGAATCCTTTGGTACTATATTTAACCAAGCCAGGTGAAGAACGCAGCCCTGCACCAGCAGCCTTGGCTGGCTTTCTGAGAACCTCTGGGCTCCTCTAAGCAAGATGTCCATTCTGTATTTACCAACTCTTCCACAGTGACTCATCCCTGCCCCACAGGGTGACTATTGCTATCACACCAAAATGGTTTGATCACAAACTCTCCTTTCATTTACACCCTGAATAATATTTTTTTCTACTTAATCCTTACAAATGAAAATGAAAAAAAAAAAGTCACATCCCAATACATATAACGTAGATTTATCTGTGCCAGCTTCTTATCAGTAGAAAAAGTCGAGTAAAGCTGAAAATGTCATTTGCTGTGTCCAGGCTTGTCATTACAAGAGAGGCATTTTAAACAGCAATCTGAGAGCGAAATGTTTTTGGATTTTACACTGGCCAGGCTGTTCTGAACAGACTCTGAGTGAGAATAGTCAAATATGATAATCATCTGCTTTGGAGAACAGAAGGAAGCCAGTTTAACTTAAGCTGGACCAATTTGCAACTTGGAAGACATTGGCTCTGGTTTCGAAAAGGCCAGAGGAAGGAAGTGTTTTCAAGGCATCCTATGATTTTTTTTTTTCCAGGTTGTTTTTTCCAAATTTCTATTTGGTTCCCTTTGTGTAAAATGTACTCCTTTCCTGCTAAGACCGGGCTTTCCCATGTAAGCATCCAGATTTCACAACTCGTTTGGATTAGACACTTGGCAAATCTCACACAAGTGTGGCAGAGCAGGGCTGCATTCTAAATTAGCAGAAGGACACAGTAATGACTAAGAACCCCATAGAGGCCTTTCAAATAAAGAGGAGCCCAGCCCCGTTCCGTGTCCTGAGGTTACAGAACCTTGGGGGCAACCTTAGTCAAACTCATTCCTCCCTACTCTGGGGGAAGATGAAAAGAAACCTAGAAGGGAGATGCTTCCAGAAACTTTTTTTTTTTTAATGCTCCCAAGTATAAGACCCTACTGTAGGCTTTTAAAATTTTTCAAAATATTGAAGAATTCTTCATCTCCCGAGCAGTTATCCCCTGGGAAAGGTGGTGAAATGACAATTCCTGGAAACTTGAGATGCTTACATTATTTTTGTTTTTCATTTTGTAAAATTCCTGTCCACAGCCTGGTGTCAACAGTGATCTGATTCACGGAATAGGGACTCCATTGCTTCCTTCTCCTTTCCTTTTCTCCTTCCGTTTCTCCTCTCTCCGTCCTTCTTCCTTCTTCCCTTTTTCCTTCCTTCTCTCCTTCCCCCTCAACTCTGACAGTTCCCTGGGTCTTGTCCCATTAGCATCTGCTTCCTCTTGATTCTAGACTGCATTGGGAAGTGTGCTGAGCCAGGAGGTATGTCTAAATTTGAGCTGCTGCGATAGGCTGGTGCCTCTGGAGGCCCCCTGGAGCTGCAGGGTTACTGAACAGGCAAGTTGTAGATCCTTATCTGGTAATTTTTGCCCTTTTCAAGACTTTACGAAGGGGGAAAAAAAAAATAACCCAGTGCTTCTTTAAAACAAACGCTAGTGGTTCAGGCCAATTCTGTTCAGACTCAACCACCGGCCATTCTCTTTTTAAGGCCATTCCCTTTTCCTGCTGCGTTCCAGTTGACCTTGATTACATTAATGTTGGCTTGTCTGTCACTGGTTGCATTCACAAAAATGAATCTCCTCATGAGGATGATTTTAATTACCATCTTCCTGCAACCTTTAACCATTCTTGCATGCGTACCAGTTGGGAGCATCTGCTTGAACTGCGAATATGAAGAAATTAAACACTTGAAGGATGCATTCGTCCCCCCCCCCCCCCCCCCCCCCCCCGCGCCCAGACAGTTTTGAAATCTGTTTCTCTGTCAGAATGAATGCAAGTCTGGAACCACAGAGGTCGTGGAAATACCTGTCGTGTCATTAAAGATAAAAGAATCGAGTTTTGCTGAGGAAACTCGTAGCCTATGGCTTTTCTGAAAAGAAGTCAACGTAGGTTTGAAAGTGAGCATCCACACATCTCTTTAAACTGAACATTATCTGCTTTGAAATTCTTTCCAACTTGGTCCGAAGTCACAATTCTTCCAGATTTCCTTGTATTATTTGAAATATTTTTGGTATTTGATTCTTTAAATGGCAAGCAGCTGCACCAGTTTTTTTGGATTCTGTCACTTGTCAGCTTTTTCTTTTAAAAATACACTTATGACCTCACTGATATGAGGAATTCTTAATCTCAGGAAACAAACTGAGGGTTGCTGGAGTGGTAGCGGGGAGGGATGGGGTGGCTGGGTGATAGACATTGGGGAGGGTATGTGCTGTGGTGAGTGCTGTGAATTGTGTAAGACTGTTGAATCACAGACCTGTACCTCTGAAACAAATAATACATTATATGTTAAAAAAAAAGAAGAAGAAGAAGACAGGAAGGGAAGAATGAAGTGGGGGAAATCGGAGGGGGAGATGAACCATGAGAGACTATGGACTCTGAGAAACAAACTGAGGGTTCTAGAGGGGAGGGGGTGGGGGGGATGGGTTAGCCTGGTGATGGGTATTAAAGAGGGCACGTACTGTATGGAGCACTGGGTGTTATACACAAACAATGAATCATGGAACACTACATCAAAAACTAATGATGTAATGTATGGTGATTAACATAACAATAAAAATTTAAAAAAAATACACTGCATGCACCATATTCTGCTTCTTGGTGCCTACGCTGGAGAGAACTGGCTTTCACTTGCACAGGAGGAATAGCAGCAGGACCCTCCCTTCTTCTAGTAAGTGTGTAATGGGTACATATTTTGTGTGCCATGATGAGAAGCACTTACATGGTTCCTGTCCTCAAGGTTGAGGTGTTCAGTGAGGTAAGACAGACTGTTCTCAGGAGTTGGCAGCCTGTAGGGCCTCACCCAACAACCTCTGAAGGGAACCCCCCCACCACCCCCTCAAATGGCAGAGGTCTGAATTGCTGTGAGTGAGCTTGGGGTACATTCCACAACATTTCTAGGCCTCCATTTCCTCAGCTGTCAATTGAGTTGATCCAAATGTGTCTCCAGGAGCTTCTGACTGTGGCTTCATTCTTCCGTGATGAGGGATTATCCCTCTTTAGAACACACAGTTGTACGTTAGCTGTGCTCATTCATTTATTCCACAGTATAAACTAGTTTATGGGATCTCTTTCCAATTTTCGTGCCTCCAGAGTCGAGTTTTGCATAGAGGCTGGAAAGCCTGAGGGAACTGGGGCTGTGGGGCCTGGAGGGAGGGGGAGAGAACACCACTGCCGGCAAACTTCCTTGCTTCACGGCTCTCCCAGGTGCTAGCCAGAGCTGCCCAGCTCCTTAACTTCTGGGATCTGGCCTCAGCTTTTACCTCTCTAGCTCCACAGCTCCCTGCCACATAGCCAGTGAGCCAGCCTTATGGAAACACCTGTGTCCCCCGGTGGGCACCCCTCCCACCAGGCCCTCCTACTTCAAATCTCTAAGAATTATTTCCAGGCCAAGGTAAGAGACCCTCATCTGACCTCCCATCATCCCTTGGGCTTGCTTGTACTAACGACTCTTCTCAGAAATATAGTATCTTTACCTACCTATGGCCTTCACCATCCTATTCACTTCTTGAGGAAAAGAATTGTTTTTTATACATCACTGCATACAGGCATTATCTGCCCAATACTTGGTGCTCCGTAAATATTTGTTGGATGGATAAATGAATACATGGAGGTTTAAAACATTAACATCATTGAAATCATTTTTAAATCATTGAAATTTGAGAGTCCGACCTTTTTTCTTCCTCAAAAGTGTTCCTTTCTATTAACAGACTTGCATTCTGGCATGGTGAGTGTAAGTTTGATATTTCTCCTAAGGCCCTTTCTTTTTTTTTTTAAATTTTATTTTATTATGTTATGTTAATCACCATATATTACATCATTAGTTTTTGACTAAGTCCCTTTCTTAACCCTCTCTAATTCTCGATTCATTTCAAAAAAGCTGAAAGCCTTTAGTCCTACAAATCAGAACTCCTCTCTCCCTATAAACAAAAACCTCTACAAGTCTCTGGTCAGCTAGCAGGGT